TGGTGACCATAAAGACTCAGGGGAATAGAAGAGTAGCTGCTCATGAGACTGGATTCCGAAATAATCTGTTCAGACTCTAGGTCACAGGATTTAAAGCCAGAAGGGACCATCTAATCTAATTCCCTCATTTTACAGATAAGGAAACTGAGGCCTAGAGATTCTGGTCTAAGGACACTACTCCCAGTACTGTCTTTCCTTCTCTACCTAGGTAAGCGGTATTCTTCACTAGGGTTTCAGTATCTATGCCTTCACCAAGACAGATGCTAACTGCCTTTCTCAGAAGCAAAAAGACTACCTCAGAAGTAATCAAACTACCTAAAAAAAATGAAATACAATCTGAAACCAACTATCCAAAGGACAAACTCAGCGAAGAAACAAAGATCTGCACAGCCCCATCCATCCTGGGAGCTTTGTTTTCATTCATCTCCCTGAGGCTGGGAAGTCATAAAATAGCTGGGTTCCATCTCAGGACAACCACAGCTCGCCTGCCTACTGGGCGTGGTGTCCTAAGGGGGTCAGGATAACAGAGTGATAATTTACACAGGCAACATGCCGAAGTGCTCGGGTGATTTCACCGCCAAGGGAGCCAGATCAAGGCATTTCATAAGAGCTGAAACCTTCCCTTAATAGTGTTTACTGAGAATACACATGAGCCATCTCTCTCCCTCTGCCACACTAGACTGATAAATTATTCATCTGGAATTCTCATTTCTAGATGTATGCTCACATACACACACGCCAAACAACTTTTCTTTGTCATATGGCATACAAGACTTCATTTTGGAGGGCCTGGAAGAGGGCAGAGGAACACTTATTTACTGAGCACTTAGATATTCCAAGGGGCCACTAGGGGGCGCCACAGTGCCTAGAGCACAGCTGGGCCTGGCATCAGGAAGACTCCTCTTCCTAAGTTCAAATCTGGCCCCAGACACTAGCTGTGTTACCCTGGGCAAGTCCCTTAACTCTGTTGGCCTCAATTTCCTCACCTATAAAATGAGCTGGAGAAGGAAATGGCAAACCATTCCAGTATCTCTGCCAAGAAAAGCCCAAAGACTAGGAAACAACAAATATCATATTCAAGGGCCTGTCCTAGGCACTGTCCTAAGCACAGTAAAAGGCAACAAAGAGGTTTCAAGACAGCACCCCTGTTCTTCCATAGGTTCAGGATAAGTCCGGTTAAGGAACCAAGACACGAATATGTGGAAAGCTACCTGGAAGACTGAAAACCGCTCGAGAGAACGATAATCAGAAGTCCTAGGCAGTCGAAACAAGACTTCCAAGGAAAGAAAGATGGCTTCAGGATGAGAGCAGGGAGAGCTCTGACAGGGGATCTGAGGACGAAGAGTCAAAGACAATCCCAAGGTCTGAAATGTGAGAGACGCAGTGAATAAGGGCACCAGAGACGAGATTAGTGAGGTGAGGAGGAGGATGGGTTTTCAGGGAAATGGCATGTTGAGTGTGGGATGTCTGGAACTTCTGGGCGGGGATGTAGGTCCAGAACTTGGAAGAGGAAACTGGGGCCACAATAAAGGTTTGGGAGCCACCCGTCTGAAGGAAGGAGAGTGAAAGAGAGACAGCAGAGGAACAAGAAAGGGAGACCAACAAGAAAGCCTTGAGAGAAGATCAGAAAAAGGAGGAGAAGCCAGTGAAGGAGACAGAAAACACAAGGAGGAGAGGCAGGACAACCCAGCGAGTTTCAGAAGCCAAGGGAGGAAGAGATATGGTCAATGGCAGTGGAATAAAAGGGAACAGCTGAGCCTCCTTTTGAAATACGTGCGTTAACCTGACAAACACACCAAAATGAGGGCTGTTCTCGAGGTGGTCACTTGGCAGTGATTCACTCCATCACTGTCTAAAACAGAGCAAAGAACTTTAAAAAAAAAAAAAAGGTAGCCAGGGATCGGGGGATGAGTGAACAAGCCGTGTACAGGAGCAGAACTAAATGTTACTGTGGAGTCAGAAAAGGTGAGTGTTCTCTGAAGTGATGCAGACCGACGTAAGGAGAACCAAGAGACCAAGATACACAACGACTCCAAGCAGCCAAAGGGAAGTGGGCTCTGAGGAAGCGCCACGGCCAGTCTGGGTACCAGAAAACGTGGTCACGAAACAAGCTTCCCCTCTTCTCAACAAAGGGGACTAGGGCAGCAGAAAGCGGCGTACACTTTCAGACTTATCTAAAAAAGAAGAAAGGATCACAAAACACAAAAGATACTTTCCAAGGTTCCAAAAGTGGGCTAAGAAGAAATATCAGCTAGTTCAACCATAAGGCCTACCATTCAAATCAAACTAGTTGAAGCCTGCCTATTTTCCTCGGAGATACACTATATTTGGACAGTGGCATCAAAAGACATCACAAGCCTCAGTTCAGAGTAAGTTACATTTAAAGACGATCCTTCAAGAAAACAGGAAACTGGGCAAAAAATTTTACAGTAAGTTTCTCTGATAAAGGTCTCATTTTATATAGAGAATTAAAGCAAATTTATAAAAATAAGGACCATTCCCCAACTGATAAATGGTCAAAGGATCTGAACAGTTTTCAGAAGAAAAAAATCAAAGCTATCATTAGTAACATGCAAAAAATGCTCTAAATCACTATTGATTAAAGAAATGCAAATTAAAACAACTCTGAAATACTACCTTGCACTCATGGCTACCATGATAGAAAAGGAAAATGACAAATGGTGGAGGAAATGTGAGAAAATCGAGACACTAATGTACTGCTGGTGAAGAGGTGAACCGGTCGAACCATTCTGGAGAATAATTCAGAACTATGCCCGGAGTTACGGCCATAAAACTGTGTATCTCTGACTACTAGTAGGTTTGTATCTCAAAGAGATCAAAGAAGAAGGAAAAGGACTTATATGTACAAAAATATTCCTAGCAGCTCTTTTGGTGACAGCAAAGAATCGGAAATTGAAGAGATGCCCATCCATCGGGGAACAGTTGAACAAGTTGTGGCACATGATTGTGATGGAATACTATTGTGCTCTAAGAAATGACGAGCAGGATGTTTTCAGAAAAGCCTGGAACTTATGCAAAGTGAAAAGAGCAGAACCAAGAGCACAATGTACGCAGTAAGAGCATTCATGTAATAATGATCAATTGTGAATGTCCAGGCTACTCTGATCAGTACAATGATCCAAGCCAATTCTAATGGACCTATGACGAATAAGCTGCTATCTAAAGAGAAAGAACTAATGGACTCTGAACACAGACAAAGGAGAATTTTCTTACTTGTGAAAAAAGAAGAAAAGATGACCTTCCAAGAGAGTGGCTAAGAGCCCATTCAAGTCTCATGAAGGTGTTCTATACCTTGGGACTGCCCGTAGGCATTATATAAAGATATAAAGTACGTACTCCTCTAAAGAATATTTCAGGGAAGGGAGACAGCCAGTAGTATTAGGATTCAGAATGATCTTCTGCCACCGCCTTCACTCTGAGTGAGTCACCCAAAGCCTCCGAAAAGGTCCGCGGGTTCAGGCCCACCCCCGCCACACGATCCCTCCACAGGCATTCCCAGGGCTGGCGTGTCACTTCCAGTTTTCCCGCAGATGCCAGTGATGTTTTCCCCCGGCTATGCCTCGGAGAGCTACTGAACCTCCATCCTGGCTAACTGGCAGGTGTTGCCTCTGTCCCCGAACTGGGATCAGAGCGAGAAGTCATTTCTGGACAAAGTCCACTGTCTGACCCAGCTCCCTAAGGTCAAGACTGCTCAGTCTCTCCCCACTGCGAAACAGGCGTAAAATGCTTGAGCTGGGAGGCGCGCCCCTTCCACAGAAAGTTCTCGAAAAGTCGAACTGGAAGGCTGCTCGTGTTTTATCTGAACTCACATCTAGATTTCACCTGCTCAGTCAGCTCCTTTCAGTGACCCTGCAGAAAACCCCTTTGGTAGTCCTTGGTCACCATGTTGGAATTTTCTTCCAAAGGCTTAATGAGGGTCTCAGAAGAATGAACACAAACCTGCCCAAGCCAGTTCCTCACCCACTGAGCCCCTCCCACTGAATACTTGCAGGGAAAGCACACTGTGTGTGTGTGTGCATGCGCGCGTGCGCGCACACGTACACATTCACACAGTAGTGGAGGCAGCTAGGTGGCTCAGTGGACAGAGCTCCGGTCTTAAGAGTCAGGAGGACCCAAGTTCAAATCGAGCCTCAGACACTTGACATTTACCAGTTGTCTAGCTGACTAGCTTACTTAACCCTGATTGCCTCACCAAAAAAAGCATAAATAAAACAAACAAAAAAAAGTAGCGGAAAATTCTATTTTTAAAAGAAAATGGCTCTTCTATAGCAGGCCTGAACAACGTACAGCCCCTGGGCTGCTTGTGGCCCGCCAACAGATTTTAGTTGGCCCATGAAAAATATAGGATTGCCACAGTGCACTCTCCTATTTGTCACGTAGCTCACAGCAAACAACCACCAGCAGCCTCTATCTAGTCTAACCTATCTGAGGCCCGAAGAAGGTTAGCTTGTTTTAATTTTGGCCCCTACCCACTGCAAGTTGTGCAGATCTGTCCTATAGTTTAAGAATTTTCAAAACTGGTATGCTGCTGCTTTACATTCACTGTAGAGCAAGACTGCAATTCTTACAGAAAATTTCAAACTTAAAAAACAAAACATCAATAATAACAACACTGTAAGCTACGATATCACCCAGATGACCCCTCTTTCTGCAAGATCTGAGTTCCCCATTGTTGAAGGTCTTCAAACAGAGGTGGAACAGCAAGGAGTCAGGGATATGATAGAAGAGATTCATGGCTCTATTAGGAGTGGGGTCATATGACCTCAGAGGGCCCTTCCTTCTCCAAGACGTTAGGATTCAAAGCAGCAGCTACACACCAAGTCATTCCCAAGACGTCCACCACTCAAACACCTGTGAGGCCTTGAAAGTAAGGAAGGTCCCATTTCAGCTCTCTATCTCTACGGCTATAGCACAGAGAAAAAAAAATAAGTCCAGTACTTAGAAGCCCTCCCAGTGCATGACAAGATGGTGATACTCACCTTTCTCCCGGGCACCATCAGTCGGCACACACGGTCCATGCTCTTGCCCATCCTCAGTCTCGCTGTCATTAAGCTGAGCTTCCAGGATGATGTCAGGGCTGTCCCCGGCGCACCTCCTCCCAAGCTGAGGAGGGAGAGTCTCCAGCAGCTCCTCAGAGACATCGGACTCGGGCACAGCATCGGCTCCTTTATCGCTGTCATCTGTCTTAATTACCTGGAAAAGTCAACGAGAAAGGGGCCCGCTCAATCTCAGAATGAAGAAAGGAAGACTAGCCATTTCTGCTTCATGTGTCCTCAACAAGGGGGAACTGGACAAGTGGCAGCTGGAGGCAGCGTGGCCAATCACACGTAGTCGTAGTCGGAGAGTGATCCCCGCTTACCAAAAACACAGAGGGTATCGGTGCTAAGGACTGCCTCAAGGGTACGAGGCGGGGTCCCCTCCTCCACCTACTGCAAACATTCTGGTTGTGCCTCAAACACACAACGATCCAGGGCCCCTCATCGACGGCATCGTACGCCAGAGGAGCCACTGCGAGGCACCTGAACAGAGCGCTGACAATGAAAACACAAGGCAGAGCACACATGACCTTTCCATTTCCTAGCTTGTGCTCAAAAAGCAATCGAGGAGACGAGTCATCTTCTCCAGGACACAAATGCCCAAGTCTTCTGGCCAGTCTTCATGTGGGATGCTTGCATCACCCGGGCTGACCTCCCTGGAAGAGCTCCAACTAGTCAACATCCTCCCCAACACAGGGCACAGACTGAGTGCTCATTCCCGCTGGGCTCTGTGTAGGGCAGAGGAAAGACTGGTAGCCTGAAGCTACCAACAACTTCACTAACAATCACGAACAATGCAACGGGGAGGAGAATTGAGATTCAAACTGATTTGAATGGATCTCATCACGATACTAGTCATTAGTCACTCAATATGAAAAAAGAGTAGAATTCAAACACACCAGGAGGTGCTGAGCCTCGGACGTTCCAAGGAGCCTCTCTATGTGAATCTGCTTGATCTTGCAACACTATCTCAAACAGTCCGTACGTTTTCAGATGACAACAATTTACTTACACCAATTTGTTCTTTGGGGAACACTGGAGATTTCCAGCAAAGAAATCTATATGCAGAGGAAATATCCAGCTTTAGGTACAAATATGACAAAAATCACTCAGAGAGATGCTAAAACAGATGAACTATTTTGCTAGCATAGACAGCGCCTACCAGGATCGGCATGGGTGGTATTACTCAGGCCTGGGGGATTTAATCTGCCTCAAGGCTACTGGAGTCTTCTCCAACTTTAATCTATGAGCCTATGACACACCCCTGAACATACACAAACTTTTTTGATCAATTCAACAAATATTCGATTCAATCCAATCCAATTCAACAAGCATTTATTAAGTGTTTGCTATCTTCCTGGGACTGCGTGAGGTATCAATCCCAGGGCCTACTAGGAGTAAGCCCAAGTGCCGGAATGGAAGAACACCTGGGATACCAGATGCCATAGGTTTATACCACCACAAAGTACTACCCCAATGCCTCATCACAAACTGGAGGTGATCCTGGACTTTCAGAGACTATGCCAGCAAAGCTCAAGTGGTGGCAGAATGACTTTGAGTGAGGTCCTGGGCACAGAGAATCTATGAACATCAGCTTTCTGCTAGTCCTCAAAATGTGCTAACTTTGTCCAATGAGTAGACATACCAAATGGTGGAAATGAATGATAGCAATACTGACGCTTCTGTTATAATGAAATCAGAAGGTAAAAGGAAGCTACAGCTCATGGGAAAGATGATGCAGAGATCTTTCTTGGAAAGGCAAAGAAATGGGTCAACAAGAAGTCTGAAGGCAATAAGAAACATCTTTTCATGGGACATCTGCTCATCTTATATCACAGTGCCTTAGAACAGCACCTGCTAAAGGCCACTTCAAACACGGCAGCTGACATGCCAACACAAGCTACAGAAGAGAAGGAGGATGAAGAGGATTTCTACAAAGAACTTAAGAAGGCCTTATACATCGGAGCAACATAAGCTTAAGACTCAGTAACTTTCATGCAAAGATGAGCAATGGGGAGGATGGCAACAAAGTCAGAAAATATGGCTTAGTACTAAGAAATCAGAGGGGGCACCAAAGACTTGTGAGCTGTGCGAAGGCCTCCAGCCTCTCTGTCACCTGAAGAGCTTTCTTTCAGAGAAGCCAAAGCTTCCCAACATGTGAAGCGTTGGCCAGCATCCCCCCAAAAATGAAACTGGGTCTATCTGCGCAGAGAGGCAATGACTGGCCACTGACACGGGAGTCATCCCTAACTCAGCAGCCTAGTTATAATCAGACCATTCATTTGTTCAAGTAAAGATCAAAACTAATATTAAATTAGAAGAAAAATGAGACCAAGCTTCACTGTGTAATTAAAGTAGCTCATAACGCCAAAGTGGAATAAGCTGCAAGCCCGGGGCCACACTGGTTAGAAAAGAAACACTCTGGGAAAAATCTACGAAGGATGGGGCGGGTGGGGAAGGGAGGGTTGATACTAACAGCTGAAAGAATCAGACAGGGCCTCTTGGAGGAGGAGGCATTGCAACTCAGCCTAGGAGAGCAAGGGGTCCAGGAGGCAGAGATGAGAAGGGCAAGCGTTCTGGACATGGCGGCACAGCTTGGGAAAAGGCCTGGTAGAGCTTCTGTAAAATGGGTGTCATAAAGGCCTTGGGGATAACAGAGGGATGGGACTAAGATGCTGGTGGTCCAGACCTTTCTAACCACTAGCTGATAGCTCCACCTCCTTCTCCCTCTCTGGCCCAATGCCCAAAACACACACACACACACACACACACACACACACAGACACACACACACACACACACAAGTTCTTGTGCTCCAACCAACAAGTAAGTCTGACAGTCACGAACCAGTGAAGGACAAGCATGCATTACATCACTGATAGCTAAATGGTGATATCTTTAAGTAAACTCCTAGTTGTCGACCAGAAAGATTAATGCTCCCTTTAGATCACATGAAGCGCCCACAATGCAAGACCTCTAGCCACGACAAGTCAGGAAAAGTTGTCAGGTGAAATGTCCTCCCTATAATAAAAACTGAATGCCCTCCATTCTAATCAGCAGAAATCATTACAACTAGTGAAAACCACCACACAGACCCTGAAAAGCAACAATGAAAAAGAAGACAGTTCCAAGCCCATCGCTCTGATCAGTCTGTATCAAGAACCCCATAAGCCCTCCTGAGGTTCTCAGCAAGTCAGGGGCGCAAACACCTAAATGGTCTTCTGTCCTTCAGAGAGTTTTATTTTGGAAACGGTTTCCAATCTCTGAATTTGTCCAATGAGATTGTCTTTGAACTGTTGCTACATTTTATGACTCAGACATGTCATCTTTATTTTCAGGTTTTTTTTCCTTTAAAAATATGGATATACATGTGTACACATATGTGCATGCATGTGTCTCATTTGTTTCCAGGGCAAGTTTAACAGCAAACACTATGTGGTCAAGTGGGAGAAGTGAGGAGCCCCAGATGAAGGTATAAGGACGACAGATTACGAACCCTGACCTGTGCAGCCCAAACACCACGAATGGCTGACAGCCCACGGAGCCCTACCTTACGACACTGAAATTACACACTTTAATCCTACGTGGTCCTTCTCCAGGCAAAAGGGTGCTGTTTGACAGTGCGGGTGCTGGTCTTACCCCTGATAGAGATCTCACAGATAATGACAAAATGACAACTGTAACAGAAAGCTAGGCACAGGGGGAGACAGGCAGGGGGAGGATGGGTTCCCAGGACCATGAATACTGGGTCAACTCACAATGCCCCTGGTGCACCCATAACCACTAGAAGCCTCCGTCCTCATTCCAGCTGCAGCTGCCCACGAGATGCGACCTTCCCACTCCCCTAGTGCTGACTGTGACCCCTCTGCACCACAGCAGACTCCTAAGTAGATTTCCTAAGATGCCATGGCCAAAAAGGAGCATCGTCAGGTAGGCCACCTTCCAGTGCTGACAGTTCTCTTCCAACTCCTAGAAATCCTTAGAGAGCAGGCAGAGGGGGTCTCCAGGCCGGGCCAGGCCAGTGCCCTAGTACAGCCCGGCAGAGTGCCAGGTGCACAGTGGACAGAGGGCAGGAGCTGGGAAAAGGAGAAGATGAGGGAGGCCTGGAACTCGAGATACCAGAGCTCACCAAAGAAGAGAGACCTGGAGAGCTACAGAGGCAAGGTGGGCCACCTACCCAGCTTCTCCCTTCTACCACCTGCACTGTTTATTAAAAAACAACAAACGAGAATGATTCCTGCTCATAAAAAATAGCCAATCCAATTGAACATGTGTTAAGCTCCTCCCACTTCCAGGAATGGTGCTGAGGAAACAAGGACCAAAACCCACCCTTGCCCTCAAGGTGCATAAATTCTATGGGCAGAGCAAACCCAGACCAACTAAGGAAAAACCAGTCCGGGTGGTACGGAAGGGGAGTGCCCTAACAGCACGGGCAGCAAAATGGGCACATCAGCCAAGCCTTGAAGGGCTCTAGGGGTTCCTGGCACAGGGACAGAAGATAAAAGGTCAAGGACCAGGGACAGCAAGTGGACCAGTGTGGCTAGAACCAAAGGTGTGTATAGGAGAGTAATGGGAAATCTGTGGAGAAAGTTAAGATTAAAGCCAGACTGGGCAGAGTTTTAAATTCATCAGCTAAGCACTTTTATGTTCCAGATACCATGGTAATTGCTGGGATATAAAAGAAGACAAAAGAGTCTCTGCCCTCAAAAAGCATACAGTCTACAAGGGGCGGTAACATGGATAGACATAGGTACATACAAGATACATAGTGGTAGATAACCTTCAAGGGGAAATGCTAAATAAATAAATGCTTTAAATGACAAAAAGAAGAGTCTGCGATTTATCCTCGAGGCAATGGGGAGCCACAGAAAGTTCTGGAGCTGGGAAACAATGTGGTTTGGGAAACTCACTCTGGAGACTACAGTGTGCAGAGGTGGGTGGGAGAAGATGGAGATGGGGGGAGGAGGAAAGATCTATTTGGAGTTGAGGGTAACAGTCTAGAGAAGAAAAGGTGAGGGAGAGGGCTTGTGTGAGCAGCAAGAAGGGGATGGAGGAGAAATGGTGTGGAGGGTGAATCATCCACTAACACAGCTAATTAATTAATTAAATGATAAGAGGGGGAAGGAAAGATGAAGAGTTGAGGGTGACGGAGAAGTT